ACACCAGTCTTCATAGTCCTTGAGTACCTTTTCCCTTACATGTTTTCAGCTTTTGGTTAATGAAAAGATCTGTTCAGTGGCTGTCAGAACTAGAGATTTCTTTTGTTTTCACCTTTAATATTGACTGACTTTTCTTTAGGTCAGTAGTATGACATAATTTCATAGAATCAGGAGTGATAAAATCCTGTGCTTTAAATGTTGGGGGTTTAGCTGTTGCTGTACTGACTGGAAGGGGGCTGCCATGTTAGTTTTGAATAGATTTGCCGATACATATCAATGCATAACTTTACACTTATAAAGTGTATTTTTACCTATTCACTGATATGAATAGGTAAAAATGGTGACTCTTGTCTGTCATCATGGCTAGGCTTCGCGAACGAAGATTTGGGAAGGCTCTATCCACATTTGTTATAAGCACGCTGGTGGCTTATGAGGCCAATACGTGACAGACATATCCGATTGCAAAAGGCACAGCAGAAAGACTCCTTAGATGGTGTATTCTGCAATACACAGTTCTTTCTGCGTTGCCTTTTTTCCTCGAGAGTGATCCTGCGTGTGTTCTCGAAGGAGACAGCTGCATTATAGATGGCGTGTCTCCAGGCCTCCCGATTTGAGGCCAGAGTAGACCAGTTATGGTGATCAATATGGCCAAGGCTGAGATGTTGTTTCAGGGAGTCCTTGTATCTTCTCTTTTGGGCTCCTCTCTTGCGGTAGCCAGTGGCAAGTTCACCATAGAGCAGGATCTTAGGGAGGCGGTGGTCCTTCATCCTTGAGACGTGCCCTGCCCATTGCAGCTGTGTTCTCAGTAACATGGCCTCTATACTTGTGACAGCTGCTTGTTCTAGAACAGATGTATTGGTCACGTAATCTGACCAGTGGATGTTTAAGATTGAACGGAGGCAGCGTTGACGGAAGCGTTCTAGGAGACGCAGGTGGTGGCGATAGATGACCCATGTTTCGGAACCATATAAGAGAGTAGACAACACTATGGCTTTGTAAACACTGATCTTGGTGCTTTTCTTCAAGTGTTTATTACGCCATACTCTTTTGTGGAGTTTTCCAAAAGCACTGTATGCCTTTGCTAACCTGTTGTCTATCTCTCCGTCGATCTTACCATCTGAGGAGATGAGGCTGCCTAGGTAATTAAACTGCTGGACTGATTTGAGCTCTGATTGGCCAATGGTGATGTGGGGATGATGGGGGACTTCCTGAGGTGCAGGTTGATGGAGGACCTCTGTCTTCTTTAAGCTGACTTCCAGCCCAAAGAGCTCAGCAGCATCTGCAAAGCAGGATGTTAAACGCTGCAGGGCTGCTTCTGTATGGGCGACAAGGGCGGCATCATCAGCATAAAGCAGCTCCCGGACAAGATGGTTTAAGGTCTTGGTGTGGGCCTTCAGTCGCCTTGGGTTGAATAGACTTCTATCAGTACGGTATCGAATGTAGATACCGTCCTGATCATCGAGGTCTGCTGTGGCCCTTTGGAGCATCATGCTAAAGAAGACGGTGAATAGGGTAGGAGCAAGAACGCAGCCTTGTTTCACACCATTCTTAATTAAAAAGGGCTCAGAAAGTGTGTTGCCATATCTGACTTGGCTGTGCTGATCCTCATGGAGTGAGATGATCATTTTAAGGAACTTGGGGGGACAACCTAAACGTTCCAAAATCTGCCACAGACCTTTTCTGCTCACAGTATCAAAAGCCTTGGTGAGGTTGACAAAGGTTACATAGAGACCTTTGTTCTGTTCCCTACACTTCTCTTGCAGTTGTCTGAGGACAAATACCATGTCTGTGGTGCTCCTGTTGGCTCTGAAACCACACTGACTTTCAGGAAGGATTCCTTCTGCTATAGTGGGTATTAGTCTGTTCAAGAGTATTCTTGCCAGGATTTTGCCAGCAATGGAGAGCAGAGTAATACCACGATAGTTTGAGCAATCTGATTTAATACCTTTCTTCTTATACAAGGTGATGATGACTGCATCACGAAGGTCTGCTGGTAGTTCACCGAGCTCCCAACAGCGCACCACAAACTCGTGAAATTTGGTATGGAGTGCAAGGCCCCCATGTTTCCAGACTTCAGGTGGAATTCCATCAACCCCAGCTGCCTTGCCGATTTTCACCTGCTGTATGGCCTTGAGGGTTTCTCCTAAAGTGGGGGCAGTATCCAATTCATACTTTACTGGTTGTTGTGAGATGGACTGAATTGCTGAGTCTCGGACTACACGGTTGGTACTGAAGAGAGTCTGAAAGTGTTCAGACCATCGATTCAGAATGGAGGTTTTATCTGTTAGAAGGGTTTGACCATCAGCGCTGAGTAGAGGGCTTTGTACCTGGTATGTAGGCCCGTATGCTGTTTTCAAGGCCTCATAGAAACCTTTGTGATCACCTGTATCTGCACATAATTGAGTTTTTTCAGCAAGATCGATCCACCACTTGTTCTAGATGTCATGGAGTTCTCTTGTCTGTAGTTTTAGTGAAAAAATCCAATTGCCTCAGGATGGTCCAAAGACTCACTCTATTATTCTTCAGCATAATTGTCTCTGTCTTCAGCCAAACTCTCTTGAGATGATACTAAAGCTGCTGAATGTGGAGCCCACTTGGGTTCTGCTGTTACTCAAAACAAGTCCTGAGGTAAAACCTTGATGTAAAACCTTGAGGTAAAGCCAGGCATCCAAATGGGAGGACTCTGAGTCAGAGAACAGTGGGTATTCCACTCCCTTCCCTTTCCACAAGGAAATGTCATAAATATTATTTTCTTCAGCATGAATCTGCAGGTTTAAGTCTTGGACAGTGAGTGTTGCTTGTGGATTTTTGGATTCATTTTTGTTTGTGTAAAGAACAATACGTTATAAATCCTTTGTGAAGAAGGAAACAACATCTTTCTGAGTTGTTTGGTATTAAAGAATGAGATCAGAATGGAGTTAGTAGATTTCCAGTTTTATTTTGGAAAAAAAAATGCATTTTGCTGATTTATTTGAAGTCCTACACCTGAAGATGTGCAAGGAATCACCATCATGGAGTTAAATTCACATGTGCATCTGTGTTCACCTGAGTTCTTTCCTTACGCCACTGGAGATCTCCATTTATAGGTTCAAAGCATGAACATTAAGTACTGAGAATATGGATCAGAATGAATGCGTTGCGCGTTCTCTGGAACAAGCTAATTACTGCTTGAAAATTGATGAAATTCTGAGGACCATAAAATTTTGCTGAAGTGATCTCTGAAGGCTTTAATTTTTTCCTTTCCTCATTTTATTCTTTTTGTAGCTAACTGGAAACTATCTCTGTAGGCTTCTCTCTCTTTTCCTTCTAGCTCACTGAAACTTCTTTTCCTTAATGTTATCTTCACACAGACTTTGCTGCTTTAATATGTAATTTTCATTGTGACTTTCACTGCTGCAATTAAGTGACTAATTGAACAGTTTATAATGTGTATTCCTAACTGCTTGTACAATAGGTTAACTGTGAAAGGCATAGAAAATTAACACACAAAAAATGTTGCCTTGTTACCTTTTACTCAGAAAAGCCTCAGAGATTTTCTTTATTTTTCTCTTTATAGTCAGTGAAACTCCTGAAAATACTTCATTGTGAAACTTTCTTTGATATTGAATCTTAGATGTCACCCACAGTGTAATATGCCAGAGTTTAAAAAATGCCCATTAGCATAAGCGTAGAAAATACTTTTGGGGGTTGGGATCTAACTGACAGTAATAGATGTAAGTTTCTAGCTCATCTTTCCAAAAATGCAGAGCAGCAATTTGGATTTTCTGGATTGTCTTTAATGAAAATAGTGCAAAACTAAGACTAGCCTTTAAAATACCTCCAATGGGTTTATCACAGAATAAATAGAATTTTAATCTGCCTTTGCTATTTATAATAATACAAGGGCTCTCAAACAGCTTTTATGCCAAAAAAAAGTAAAGTTCTGGTCACACAGAAAGGTCTTTCCAGCTGTTACTGGTCTGTGCACTGAGTGAAATGGAGAGCACAGTATAAGATCAAATCTAACAGAAAGTTTTAAAAATTTAAACTTCTCGAGTATATCTTCTGAGTTATCAATTTCTAAAAGAAATTCAGGGGTTTAATGTAGCAATTTTATTGATATTAAAATAGTGTAATCATACTTTTATCATACATTTTTTATTTATGTTAAATCTGCAGCAGAATGAAAAGAGAAAGAAGAGATAATGTGCATGTAGGGAGAAAGTTCCTTTTTTGTTTTTAAAACTATTTCTTTATAAGTAAATATTGCTGACAAAAAAAAAAAAGTTGTCTTTAAAAGATGTTTGGGGAAATGCTGCAGTTGGCATGTGTATGTTTCCAGGCAGCAGTGGCCATAAATGTGCTTTCCATATACCTTCCCACCTTCATGTCATCCCAGTGGTAAAAAAAACAAATAACTTATTTAACAGTGTTAGTTAATAGAGCCTGTACAGTACTGCTCTTATCAAGGAAGATTTATTATGTTGGCGTTTTTCTCCTGTCTGTTTAAACTACTCTCTTCCCCTTGTTCTTTACCAGTTCTGAAATTCACCTGTTTCCCTTTCGTAAATCATACTTTCTGTAATTTGGTTGACTGCAGGCCTGTTTTTGGTCTAGTCCTGGTTCTTACTGTAAAATTCTTCCATACTGGAAAACAAACAAACAACTTTTTTTTTTTTTAAATTCACTTTATTTCTTTATAAATTTTATTTTGTTTCTTCCATGCTGAAGGGAGACGTTGATATTTAGTGACACATCTTTCTAAAACTGAATGCCGACCCAAGGAGGTGTCTGTATTAGTCTGTATTGTGATGGGCAAGGCTGTATTCTGCTGATCTTGTGTTCTACTGATCTTGCAGAATTTCATCGGTCTAAATGGCCACATTTCACAGCCTGGGAGGCACCTTTCCTCTTATTGCACACAGATATTCTATAAGCTTTCAGTTTACCAAAATTACTCACACTCTATTCGAATTTTTGCCACCTCCACAAACTCCAAAGTGTGTTTTTTTCCTACCCAGGGTTTAACAACTCCGAGCGCACGTGTGACAAGGAGTTCATCATACGCAGAGCGGCCACGAACCGCGTCCTCAACGTCCTGCGACACTGGGTCTCCAAACACTCACAGGTATTCTCCCCCTCAGACACATAACCCTGGACTGATTTGTCACAGTCGCAGCTTGGCTGAGTTGATTTGACTGTGTTAAACCACTTGTGTTTTCATACAGATATTTATTTATTTATTTGTTGTGAATCGTGCATGGAAAGAGTCACCAGTTCTTTGTGTTGGTCTCCTCTGTAAACCATGATGGGACTGTAGGTCTGATTTGTTTGCAGAGGAGGGAAGGGATCTGAGTGGTTGGTGGAATTTCATAGATCAAAAAGTCCTTTAAGATGCTAGGTGGGAAAAATGTTGGAAGAATTTGGTATACATGCAGAAGATACCAGGGAAATTGTTGAAAGAAACAAAGGAGGGAGGAAGACAAAGTGAGGTGGAGACAAGGAAGAAAGGGAAGGAAGGGAAGCAAGGAAGGAAAAGGAAGGGAGGGAGGGAGACAGGCAGGGAGAGAAGGAGGGAGGGAAGGAAGGAAGAAGTGAGGGCACTTTGCAAGCAATATATAAACTGCTTTGTTAGTACATGCTAATAATAAAGAATACTTCATTTCAAGAGCTAAATGTACCCATGTCAAACTGTCTGATGTCAAATCAATTCCCTTTTCCCTATTGAACTGGCTTAATTTTCATAGAGGTTGTTTCCTAGAGAATGAAGTCAGTAAGAAGATGTGTGAGAAAATTGGTTGTGTTTGAAAAGCTGAACAGCCCAGAAGAGATTAATAAAACCTTTCTTGGTATCATGGGAGTGATTAAACATTTTGAGTTACTGGAAACAGCCTATGTACACCAAGTTTTGTTTGACTACCTGTTAAATTAAAATCAGAATCAAGAGCATCTTGAGCTGTAATAGGAGTGGCAGCAGTCTGTCATTACAGTTCTGTGTTGCTGTTCTGTACTTGCTGTGTTCCTGCCACAGTTCCCATTAAATAACTGCTGTGCTAAATAAAAGATGGTTAATTTATGTGATTGTGAAAATGTTAGGAATCATCAGACTTTATCTACATTAAGCAACATCTACAACTAGTTTCACTGAAGTTTACATTTCAGAGCTGATCCTGTCTGAGTTGTAATGATTCTCTATTATAAGCAAAAAGTAACTATGAAGAGTCCAAGCATACTCTGCATTGTCATAATTTACCAAAAATAACACTTTCTCTCCTTAAAAATACAAGTGTTCTCTGTTTTCATTTCAAAATTATCCATGATACGCAAAAATGTAACGTTCTCCTGTATACTTTTGCATCTTTTGTGTAACATTTACAAATGTGATTCTTTTAGAAATATGAAGAGGACAAAGATAATGATTAGTAGTTCAACACTGTCCATTTTCAAAGGGGAAGCTATTACCTGGACTCCCTAGTCTGCCACTGCCTTATATTCTTTCCATGGCAAGGGTGTCAGATTTTAATTCTCTATCTCTCTTAGTTCATTATTCCAGTATAGCAGGTATTTTAAAACGCAAGAGCTTTGGCACGGAAAATAAGAAATGCTACAGCAACAGAGTATTTAATGAGCATTTTGTGTTGTTTACTTGTGAGACTAGTAAGAGAGAAAGGACAGCAGACCTAAGCAAACCAGAAAAGACTGTCTAGTTCCTGCCAGAAAATTATGGGACAGGACTGCTTCAAGGAAGACAAGTGAAGAATTGCTGTCTGGCCAAATAGTGTGAAATGTTGGCAGTAAAAGATGGATAGTCCTGGGAGAGCAGGAGCTCTGAGCTTATTTTACAATAAAAACACAAACTGCAAACCAGAGAACCCTGAGTGACCAGTGTCTGCTGAAAAAAATGCTTACTCAATTTCCAAACCGACAAAGCAATATAAGCTTTAAAATTTTTTAAGAAAAGCAGACCTGCCAAAAACTTTCATACATTTTGAGGTATTTGCATTGTTCTCTGGCTACTCATCAGTCCGGTCTAGTGGAACCGCCATGGCAGAAACGAGATGACTTTTAAGGTCCCTTCGAACCCAAACCATTCCACAAGTCTATGATTCCATGACTACTACATTTGAGACATCCTTCATCTTCATGAGCAGCCAATGGCAGGTTTTATTCTCAAAAAGAGGGCAGGTTTTATTAATTGAAAAAAAAAAAAAAAGAAATCAGTGGATATTTGCAAAGTTTAACATACGATTTTGATACTGTTTTCCCTCCACCTGGCTTTGAATTTGCTTTTGGTGCAAAAACTTCCAGCACAAAATAGGCAATTTCTCTCTGTCTGGTAGACTGTTCTCCTTGTGATGTCCCTAAATCCTTGTAGTCATCGCTGGCCTGCACTGCTATAAAACGTAACCTACTACACACTTTTTTCTGCCAAAATGCCACTTCCTTATCACTAGATGCAAAGAGAAGCAAAGACAACAGACATGAAGAGTGAGGCTTTCTTTATTTCTCCTTTTTGGGTGTGAGATACTACTGCAGACGTGCTTAGTGCTGCAGTTTGTGAATAATTCTGCAGCATAACTGACTCTGTCTTGGTGCTCTCTGATTCACCAGTGACAAGTCTGCCTACGTTATTGTCCTGATCTGTTGGGCTCTATTGGGTGCAACATAAAGAGACTCACATGCAACCGTGTGCTAAAGGGCTCTTACGTATATCATCCCACTTCATTATTCCCTGCTCTCCATTCATCCCTCTGGAGCCCTTGGCTTGTTTCTGCTGCTGCTCTGTGTGTAATAACAATGGGTCAGGGTTGGTGCATGACCCCAGGGATGGAGGAATTATGCAAACAAATGGTTCAGAGCCTTGTGTTTACTCTGCTCTAGAAAATCCTTGACCAGGGTTTGGAAGGTCTTTGCTGGGCTATGGAATCAATTACCTTCCTACACTATTTTCCCACTATGTCAAAACCTGCTTTGTTTTTGTTTAAATTTATCTGAGCATGGACAGCATTTAATATGTAAAATTGTCTGTGACCAGGAAACAGAATCATTAAAATTAACAAATCAGCCTATTCAGTGAAGATGTGCTTTCACAAAGCAGTTTTGTTATCTTGAAATCATGCTAAGAGATGCTAAGAAAAAGAATTCATTATTTGTTATACTTGGGTCATACACTGTAGAAGCCTCATTTAAATTTCTAGTAACTGTACAGTGGTAGTAGTGCTAGATCTGCAGCCCTTTCTGGAGGGCAGAAGGAACTAATTAATATCCTCATAAGCATGCAAGGCACAGATCAAAATTTGGGAAAAAAACATCTCCAGGTGATGTGACACATACTTTTGTTTTTACCACCCTGAGCGAGAGTGATCAAACCTGTGTTACTCCTCAGCCAAAACCAGCACAGCATGAAGGGTGGGTTTAGGTATTCCAGATTGTTTTGTGTATGTTTTTATTCTTTCCATTGCATATCCCTCCTTTTTTTTTTCATTCAGCCTTCTGCAAGCCAACAAACCTTTCTTTTTGCCCAAAATAACAGGAAAGTGTTCGTGTTTACATTTTGGTTTTGAAATGTAATTGAGAGGAACAGCATAGGATTCTCCTATTGTAAACAATGAAAACATAAGTGACAAGGCAGAGGATCGTTGTGAAGACAGTGTTGATGGGGACAGAAAGGGCTCATGAGGATAGAACTCCTACTGGCTTCTGCAGAGGTGGAAATTTGGAAGGCAAAAGGAGGCCAAGAGGAGAAAGTCTCAGTATGACTTAATTATCTGGGTGAGGTCTTGCAGCCTTGTTTCCCTTAGAAGTACAGCTGGAATGAGTTGGCAAATCTTAGTTCTCTCTCAAACTCTCTTGGTGCTAGACAGTGTCAGCGAGCTATGGAGTGAGCACAAGACCTAGGGGGAGGACCATGGCTTGAATTTTGAGAATGTAGGTCATGATCTCGTGCCCAGTGCCTGCCTGGCTCCAGCTGTGAAATTATCTACTGCAAGTCAGTTTCTTGGTCATACCAACAAAGCTGTGGTGGGTTTTCAACAGAAGGATTTGCAGAGGTAGTTATTGATAGCACTTAGGGATTAGGAAGAACACCTGTGTACAGACAATTGTCCGAGCAAAGATGATTTTGGTTAGTTAGAAATAGTTTTAGTGCACATCAGTTGGTCAATTCTAGTTTTATTCCATTTCATTGGAATAAAAAAATATAGATATAAAATCCTCTATACGAGCCCCACTTTCCTCATGTTTATGGGTGTAAAATGATGAATAAGATAATATGGCAGATTTATGGTAAGTTTTTTGTAGAAATGTGAATAAATTGCACTCACACCACACTTAGCAAGATGGGCTGTATTTTAAGTACATTTCAAATGAATGCCCCCTAGGACCTGTGGCCCCTGCCTTGAAACAGCAAAGAAATTTCTGGGATTCTGTCTGAAACAAACAGACATCATGATACAAACTATGAAGAGTCAGAGGGGTTGCCCCAGAGAGAGTCAGAGCAGGGGAACCTGGAGTGACCCTTCCAGCTGTTGGCCAGGAAATCCAGTTTGCCTGAACTTGTGCAGTGAATAATAATACACTTAATTGCTGCTGTGCTCTGTCGAAATGTTGCAGGAGCACAAGGGTTGGCTGTACCACGACCCTTCAGGGAACATGAGTCACCCCCAGAATGGGAGCCAAGCCTGCAGTCAGTCAAACTGATTAACAGTTTTCTGCACCCATTTCTGCTGGAGCCTGACAGGTCCCTCCCCACTGAGGTCCTTCAGGAATGTGCTGCATCCCAGGACTCAGAGGCAGAGATGTCACATTTCCTGTCTGTCCTGAGTGCTTTAATCTGACCATATGTAGTGGCTGGACTCTCCTCTCAAGGTTTCTTGTGTACTACAGCATTACACAGTGCCTGGACGAAGAGAGCTCTGTATTGTGTGTGCTGGGAGTTAGTTGTGCTGTTCATGTAGCTTGTACTTTTAACCTGATTATACTCCATCAGGAGTGACAGGCAAACACTGATTCTGTAGAATCAGGACTGACATTCTTCCCCTAACTATGAGTCTCTGCACTTGAAACTAACTGGAAGACAATACTGTTGTCTGCTTGTTTCTTGAAGTAAGCCAGACTTACTTCAAGCTCAGGGATGAATTTTCCTGATAACCGGTTGTAATAACTTTTCTCTCTGCCTTCCACCTGTGTAAATGTTTTGTTGCAGGTGAATTTATGAAGATTTTCCTCATCACAGTTGTGTGTGTTAATAGCTGAAGTGTGTTTTTGTGTTGCAAAATTAAACAGTATCGTAGAGGACTGCAGCAGTGGAGTAACTTCACTTTACTCTGATAGCATTTGATCTGCTGTGTACGAGGGTAAGAGTCACTTGACTCGTTACTCTTTGGCATGAGACCAGATACATGAAAATTGTAAGGCAAACCCCATCTTCTTAAAAATATTCCAAGTTCTTTGTAAACAGTCTTTCAGTAGATCTCTCTCCCCTACTGCTTCTTCCTTCCCTCCCTCTTGTATTTTCATAGTCCTTCTCACTGGCACACTCAAATACATATCAGGTTCTCAGGTTTTAGCTCTGTTTTGTTTGTCTAGGTTATTCAATGTTTCCCCACTTTCTTTAGATGCAGAATGTTTCCTCCCATTTAGGAAGATTTAAAGAAAGAGGGGAGGAAAAGCTTTTGGGATTTCACTGAATTCATGTCAAATCTTGAAAATATATTCTCTGAACAAACCACCGATAGTGAGTCTACTGCTTCTAGTTAAAAAAAGACACCTTAGCAAGGCTAAGTTCTCTTTTTGTTGCTTTCTGCTGCCTTTGATGCAATCTCATTTCTTCTGGCCAGTGATTAAAAATCCCTGTGCCCTTTCATGAAGGACTAGACCACTGTCAAGTTGAAATGTGCCTGCTGGACGCTTGAGTGGTTGACTAACTGTATTCCTTCTGTGATGTGTAAATTGCAACTGAAAGTCACAAAAGTGGTCTAAAATTATATATATAGGTATGATACACATGAATACCATCTATCTACCATAGCTACCTATAGATCTATGTGTCCTATACTATAAACAGATATATATGTAATATATTAGTATATATTCATATATGGGCACATGTAATATAATCTGCATGTTTTTAGAGTTATTTATTTATAAATTATACTTAGTTGCTAAGTATTTTGGTGTTTGTATAATTCTCATGTTAACCTTTCTACATATGTTAAGTACGTGTACAAGTGCAATGATTTCCCTAGATTTTTTTATATATTGCTCGTCACACTGGAAACCCTGTACCCCTTAGATAATGAACTTCAACAGAAAAAGAGATTCTGTCTCCAGTTTACTTCTGAATCCCACCTTTTTCCACATATTTTTTTCTCATCACATTATTAGAAGCAGATGGCACATTGCTTTAAAAAAAAAACACCAACAATGTGAGTTTCTCAGTGATTCCAGGACTACTTTCCTGTGTGGATTACAGAGTAAAACAAGTTTTGGTATTAATGAGCAGTTTATTAATTCACATTGTTCAAATAATTACCCTATAAACATGCAAAGCCTGGAAATGCTTTGGTTTTGCTGAGTTTGATAATCACTGGTGAGGTTTCCCCATCCTATTTGTAAATAAAATAACTTCTAAAGTTCTAGACTTTTTTGGTCAAAAATTTGATTGCAATAAACATCTCAAGACATCTTGAGAGAAAATATGTTATAATGAAAATACTCAACGAGCTGTCGTTTGAAAACCATACTTGGAGATCAAATCCTAATCATGCTGATGTCATTTGCATGAGAATTTTACTCAGCAGTACTAAATTGGGCTGTTAGATTTGTCAGCTGTTGGACACCTTTTCTGTACATTTAGGATATATTTGTAGCCCACCTAGCAAAGATACCCAACTTCTTTTATACAGTGCCTGCCACTGAGCTACAGGACAGACATCACTAATATTAATTACACTGGTGGCTCAAGCTTGTGCAGGCTTAAGGTTTCTCCTTCATCTAAATTCTGATAGTTTTATATTTCAAATGGGTTTCTTCTAGAAATCACTGGAGTGAACAGCAGTGTCATTCCTCATGTTTTCAATAATTAGTCACATTTCCATACCCTAAATGTATGAAAAAATTCTCTTGTCTTCTCTTGCAAACAGGCTAAGGCAGATCCTTAGGGAGGCATTTCAAACAGTGACTATAGAAAATGTAATTTAGAAAACAAACACAGTGCAGTACCCAGAAATAATTTTTGCTTGGCTTTGAGCTGTGTGTCTGATACCCCATCCAAAGCCTGCTGCAGGCTCCCCATTCTTCAACATCCTTGCCTTATGGACAAACATCACGGAAAAAAAAAAAAAAGACACAGATACTAGTAGGTTTCAAGATATTAATTAGCTGTGGCCCAGGTGAGAAGACTTCTGAGTAGCGAAAAGAGGATGCTGTGACAGGGGAGAAATGCTCAGGGCAGGTAATTTCTGAGTGCTGACATTTGAGCAGTAACCATTCCCAAAAAGTGTTGTAGGGGAGGCCGTGGCACCTCCTCCTGTAATGAGCATGCATTCTCCTTCTTGCCCTAAGTGTTTCATCCCTTTTCCAAATTAAGCATCACTAGTCTCTGTGACTTTGGGAGAGTTCTGATGCTCTCACATTCCCTCAAGTGAAACCCGGGCTGTATCTTCACTGGAGGTGGTTCTGGTTCTCCCCAGAGGCAAACATCTCCAGAAATCCTGTCATTTTAGGAGCCTCTCACAACAGGAGGGGCTGTGCTGCTTATTTGAAAATGAAATACAATGCTCTTGCACCGAGGTGCCAAATATTTCCCATTTTCAGTAACTTTGTGCCTTCCGTTCCCATGGAAACAAGCAGGAGCTCGCCACAAACATGGTTCTGTTTGCAAGTAACTGTGGGTTATCAAGGAAGATCTATGATGCACTAGGTAACTGAAGATTTTGAGCTCAGTTTTCTTATCAAAATGCTAGCTTTGAGCTAAATACAAGAATTTCTGGAGTCTATTCCAACACTTGCCTGTGAGTTCCCACCTTAATGCTTGTATATTCTATTACAACAGAATGTCTCATATTCTGTTCTCTGATTTTCTCCAAATTCAGAGATCGACATAAATGGCTGTAGCACATTCCTGTTCTTGAAATGCAGTCCTGTGTCAGGTGTCAATCTGCCTTGGAGGGAATGAAAATGCCGAAGCTCTCAGGTGCAGTGCCAGAGAGCACAAGCCTGGTTTAGTGAGTTTATTAGTTTGGGTACTCCACTAAAAGCAGACCTTTCCAAAAGGGTGAGTATGAGATAAGAAATACCAGAGTGGGAGGCAGATAAGCAGAGAAACTCAAGAAAACATTGAAGGGAATCCCAGTGTCCTGCCTTGCTAGGCAGTGGTCCCAGAACTGCAGTTAAACTGTTTTTCTGCTTTTAGAGTCATCACAGGAGAAGAGAGAGGATTTTGTGGGCATTGTTGAGTTTCTTACTTCAGAAAAGAAGGCTGATTTTCCCACTTCCACACAGAAGATAAAGATGAGAAAGGAGATAAATCACAGCCTTTTGGAGATCCTAATTTTGTGGCCTGTTCACTACAACAGCTTTCCAGGTTTCTTTAAATATTCTCAAACCTAATACCAAAAACAAACAAGCAAAAAAATAAAAATTAAAGGTAAAGAATTCAAACCTAATAGCAAAAAAAAGAAAAAAGTCAAAACTCATAGAAATATATCCTTTCAGTTGTTTGATCGACATTATGAAGGCAAAAGGAAATAAAACTGTTTTCCTTTTAAGGATTTTGATCTGAACAACGAGCTGAAAATGAACGTGTTCAATTTGCTGGAGGAAGTTTTGAGAGACCCTGACCTTCTGCCACAAGAAAGGAAAGCTACTGCAAACATACTGAGGTAAATGCGTTTCTAGTAATTTAACATCTGAACTGTAGCACGTGACATAGGGCACTGTGTATCGAATTCACAGGGTTTGGGTTGTCTCCAGAGTATCCAATTTTGAGGATCACTAAGCATTTTATGAGCCATAAAATGAAGTGTGTGTTAAATGTCATTCATAAAAATACCTGTATTAGAAAATTTTACTGCAGAACATCGGACAGCCATGAGTCCAGTCTTCGTGTATCAGCGAAAATAACTCCATTTGCAAAGTGGGAATATTTTGTAGCTACTGTGTCTCAGTTTAACGAGACAGAAGTGTTTGCTAAGGAGGGCGGGATATGAGAAAAAGCCAGGTTCCTCCCTCTAAGTAATTATAACTTCGAAATTAAGAGACTCCAGTGGAAAAGAAAAATAACAGCTCTTTACAAAAGAATATACGCGTACAGGTAACACAGCAAAAGAAAACAACAGTCCCGCCCCAAACTCCCACCGAAACCACTTCCGTCCTTTGCGCCTTCCCGCGCAGTTTCTGACCGCGGCCAGCAGGGGGCGCTGCTGGGCCCTGGCCCCGCGCCTGTGGGTCCGGCGGGGGCGGCGGCCGGGCGGGCCCCAGGGAGGGGGGAGGGGGAAGGGAGAAGGGGGAGGGCGATTCCTCCTGTGCCCTCACTCTGTTGAAGGCTCTGGCTGGAACTCCCCTTCCTCGTCAGCGAGTGTAAACTGCCACTGGCACGGAGAAGGAGGAGTTGGGGGTGAAGAACAGCCCTTCCCCTTAAAAGTTCCTCTGCAGATTGGTACCGATTTCATCCTTTTCCGATGAAATCCGAGGCAGGTCCGGGCCGTGGGCAGAACAGGGCGTGAGGGAACGGAGGCGAGCCGGGGCCAAAAGCCGGATGACCCGCAGAGCTCTTTCTCTTCACACACACCCTCCCTGAGTCTGGGCAAAAATGAAGGGCCTTCCCCACAAGAATAAAACAAAAACTCCCCTCCCCCAACAGTCCCCTGAAGCCATCGGCTTGGAATGTGGGGCTATTAGCCAGTCCTTTTGTGTGTGTGCTCACTCTAGCCAGCTCCTTCCCCTCGCTCGCTCAACACCTTTCTTTCACAGTGGTAAAGGGAAAAAATTCCAAGCAGGTTGGTTTTTGTCCTTTAAAACAATAAAACCTATGACACTGATTTTCGTGTGAATTACATTACTGAGGAGCAGGAGACACTTAAAAGACTAAGCCGTGATTAAATAAATAAATCATTTAAAGACTAAGACGTGATTAAAATAAAATATGATCAAAACCACGGATGTGGTTTGTTTTAACATTATTGTGAGTAAGCCAGTGGGGATGCAATAAATGTAGTATTGTCTGAATTTCCTGAGATCATTTGACAGGTTTCCCCATCAGATACATGAAAAAACAAAGTGACTGGAAAGTTGTTCACTTGAGGGGGGGGATGTCAAACAAAGGAAAAGAAACAATTATAAATTCTTGTTAAAAGCACCTTTATTTTTACATAAATAAAAATCTCCTTTTTAATAATACTGCATGTGCTGCTCTTCCAAGTAAAAGTATTAAGTTTGTTTCGTGTATTTCTTTGGAAAAAAGAGCAAGCCAGAGAGCAGAAAGTATGAGGATAATGGGTTTTAATAATATGTGTGACAACATAGGTTCTGTCAGGTTGCTCACAGTGGGGAAGATTACCTTAAGACTTTCAGCTTTCTAAGAAAATGTCAGAAGATAAACCTGGATTGGCTGTTCCTGGCAGTAATGGGATACATTTATAGGCCTTTAACATACAAGTTTGTCAGCAGTTTCCTGTATCCCATTTTAAATTAGCCAATTTCCATTAGTTGTTGCATCAAAAAATGGACTGTGGTATTTATGTGTTAATTATGAGTCCTTTTACTGCTGTTCTGTGAAATGGTAGGTGTTGTTTCTCCTCTCTCCCCCTCTAGCACTTATTACTGAGTATTTGAGCACACTGTATATAATACACTAGTGAATACAGTTCATCAGATATTTCCATTTTTCAGGCTTTTTTTTCAGACTTGAAATTCTGTGAATTTTCACTCTGTATTTCTTTTGAAAAAAAAAATGCTGTAAGAAGTGAAAATTCTGAAAAAGTTAAATTCTTAAAAGCTGAGAAATGGGGAAAAGGCATTTTTTTTCTTTAGCCTTTGCTAACATTAGTTGTCAAAACTCCTTTATTGCTTTTCAAGGCTGGCAATGCTGCTAAACATGTGGATGCTGGACAGTTTGATGTCAAAAATTTCAATACTGTTTCAGTGTGAATTAAAGTTCAATATGCTTTCACACCCTCTCACTGGAAGGAGGAGCTTTGGTGTTTGGATCATCTCAGGGGAATGGGTTGTCTGTTAACTGAGTGACTTCCACAGTGTAGCAAAGCACTGGAGATACAGGCTCTCAGCAATGCTATATAGTTAAATGAGAAGAGGGAATTACAGGATAAAAGGGATAATATGAATGCAGTTGTTTGCGTGTAACTGTATATCTTTCGCAGTGACACAGGAGTGCTCATTCCTTTACTTTTCTGGTTTTTTTATTTTTTCATTTATTAAATCTATTTATGTTATTTTTTTAATTTTTATTGCACATTATTAAAAGAGGAATATATATAAGCTTTAAAAAAACCTGAATGACTTGCTAGTCTAAGCAGTGACCTGCTGTCCTGTGGAGCCTGAACACACGGTTCTGGAACCATCTCAGGTACTTGGGGCATCAAGGAGGGGTCCCTCTGGTCCTCCAGCTCCTCAGCTGGTCAGTGGATTCAGACAGAAAACCAACTGTTCCTTGAAAACTTAAGTTTGCAATAATCCAGAATGTAAAATGGAGGAATAGTTTCTGTCGAGGTGTTTAGTTTTTCTAGCAGGTTGAAAAGATCCTTGTACAGTTTGATTTCATGAGGAATTGAGAAACAAACAAAAGCAGAAGATACAACATCCACATGCCTCCATTCTGTCTGACTGCATGATTTATGAATGAGGTTTCTAGTGCTTGAACAGCAAAGTTGCTGCTGTACTTTCACTAAAAACAAAAGTACTGCATCTGGTGCTAAGAGGACTTGATGACCCAGGGATTGTTCTTTTGCTGATGTTCTGCCAGCATGGTACCATGGCTGGTTGTGTCCAAGCCAAACACTGAACTTGCTCTTCCCAAAACTGGGAGACTTCTCCTCGTTGTTTGTCTCTAAAGATCACTATTTATCGTAGTAGGCACGACCAAGACCATGTTCCTCTTGATGAAGAACTGCTCATCTTCAAGCCAACATTGCACTGAGACATAGGGAAGAGGCTCCACATTCTCTCAGAGTATTTTGTACTTTTTCCCGCATCAGAGTGGGGATTTTCTATCACTTGCCCAAATGTCAATGTTCTGAACGTTGAGAGAATGCCCTTTATGGAATAAAATTATTTGTTGAGTTCCTTCAGATATCTGTAGGTTATAATGACAGGGTGAAGGGTCTGCATTGACTCGGAAGAAACTCTGTGGTAGGACCCACTGTGTGTACCTGAAGCACCAAACCACAAAACAAGCTGCAGGCAGGAAATGAAACTTCCACAGTCACTCCCTATTGTGGGGGAGATTCTCTTCACCAAAATTCAGGCATCCTGGCTGCTCCTCCAGAGATCGAGACCCTGCCTTCCCCAGTTGCCGAACACAAGCAGTGGTAGGATGTGAATCCCACCCTGGATGCCCTAAAGGTACCCAGAGTCTGTGTTCTTTTAGAGATGTGGAGGTGTTTTCAGGTACTGTGTCCTTCTCTTGTTTCACTGTCAACATCTGGTTTCGAGAAATGCTGTTCAGTCCATCACTGCCACACAATCACTTCCTTGGAAAGATGTCAGCTTTTTGATTTTCTTCTAAATTGAGACCTTTCAGCTAATATTACTTGGAGGAGAAATATAAATAACCCAACTGGAACTGAATGGCTTTTCTACTGCTGTTAGAAATTGATTCGTTTGAAGATTTTTGACAGCATCCTTTTCATATGGAAGCACAGGTCTGTCGAAACTGGAAGTTTCGATGAAACTTTCATTCAAAAGGCTTCTCTGGGACAGGATGAAAATGAGAAGAATGAGTGAGCCAGTTGATGAAAATAGTCATTCACCCATTTGCTAGCTGAGTGTCATAAAACAGGCTTTTTTTGTTGCTCTGAAGAAGTGCTTGCTTCAAGCATTTTATCTAAAAGGCCATGGCATATCAAAACATGTATTCTATCAAAATTCTGGGTTACCTGTCAGCTGTCACTGTAGGCCTTGGCTTCCCCACATTTCAGTTTTTGTAGTGTACTCTCAACTCTGAAAAGCAGAGGAATGCAGGATGAGGCTAGGACAAGCATTTCTTATCATAAATTCAGTGTTCAAACATTCACGAAAAAAGGTTCATGCTTTCTGAGCCTAAAGATTGGTATTTTCTGTGTCTCCTTGAAGGGTATTGGGTAAAAATAGGTCTTTTTACAAACTATCCCAGCTTTTGAGTGCATGTATGCATGTGTGCATTAATATTTCTTGGAAAATCATTCCCTTTATTAGCAGAGATTAGAGGAGGAGGAAAGGATGGTTTGTATTCCAAAGATATCATGGTCAGCTCTGGGAGAGGCTCTGTTTAGAATATGAATGACAAGGAAAATGTTGATGAGAGATACTGAGCTGCTTCATGCCTTGAGTCATCAAACAAAGCAGCTGGTATTTCTTGCATGATGGGATTTTTGTTGTGTGGACTGACAGGGTTTCTCTTCAGGGTGAAAAAGCTTTTTTTTAATCAGAATCTGTTCTGAAACCTATCAGTGTATGTTTTGCTTGAGATTTTATTGGCCCTATTTATTAACCCTTGAAATCTAGATAAAATATAATTGATAATGAAGCAGGAAGGTGTAAAGTTCAAACTGAGCAGCAATCAATATTTCTGATAAATGATCTTCTCTGGAGAAAAACAGGGTGGTTCAAGAAACACTTTTTCCTTCCTCTTCCTCAGACTAAACATAAATGAAATCCAGGGATATGCAGATGTCAAAATTTGGTGAATGAACAATTTTTCTACCTTGTATAATCTCACCAAACAACACCTTTCAGGCTCTACAACTTACAGTAGCTTTTTAAAATATTTTAAAATGCTTTATGTACCATAAAGGAATAAGGAGACACATGTTAATATTTTCAACTAGAAAATTAATTTGGTATTCAGACTGGTCAGGCATGAAGAATAGTGTGTGTGTGTGAGAGAGGTCTAATCTTAGCTGCTTACTCTAAGAATTGGAAAGATATTTCTTGTTGATCTACTTTCTTCATTTGTAAGGATACTGGTGGAAGTGTCACCCAATCCAGTCCTCCCTGAGAGTGATTCTGTCCAGCAGAGTCTCTCAGTGCTTTTGCTTTCTCTCATGACCCTTTTCACATGGATCTGTGCTTCTTCTTAGCTTCCAGGAGCTCTCCAAGGAGTGCAATGGAAACTACCCAAGCAGGACTGAGCAGCCCAAAACATCTTCCCAGACCCCTGTTGGAGCTGGGAATCCCAAAGCTGACAACAGTACAGACTGGAGTGCGAGCTGCTATTGATGCTGTCAAAAAAACAGCTTTACCCAGTGCAGAGATTTATTATCCTCTGCAGTTTAAAAACAGAGCATTTACTGATAAAAGGAAAGTTGCTTGTTTGTTTGGGTTTGTTTTGTTGTTTTGTTTTGTTTTTTTTTATGAGACCACTGTGTTAGGAAAAAAGTGTCTGTTTAGAAAGAGGAATTGAAAGTTTACATAAAACGTGAGATGTCATGATGAGCAGTATCAGGTGGCAAGGATGTGGAAAGGTTAACTATTTTCAGCCTTTTAAGAACTTCATGTTTCATATTTTATTTCATATTAGGCAAACACACTAATTTCTATATGAAAGGCAGGCCAATATAAACTTATATGTAAGTAACTTAGATGAAGAATTTACGAGATAGATAAGAATACTTGGGGCAGAGGCAGGGCATAGGGACAAGCCCTGTCTGTTTTTTGTTGCCAGCAGACACATGCTTGTGTCACAGGTTAAACAATACCTTTGTGCAGGCAATCACCCGTGAGGTACAGCACAAAATAAGCTGCTCAGGAAGGACAGATCGACAGTCTGTTTACAGTCACTGGGGCTGCACACCATTATCATCTGGAGAAGAAGCTTACAGTTCTCCTGTAGAGGTAAAACATTCAAGACATTTTATGTCTTGTGTCATCAGACACAAGGTGTTTCCAGCCCTTACGAATAGAAAAAGGGCATTTTTGTGTGGATTTTGGTAGGCTGAAAATGAGGGAAGGAGGTTTCTTAGATTCTGTGTTTATCTGCGTTTGATTTTAGCGGAGCTCTCCAATTTGGCAAACCAAGAGAAAACAATAGCAGCTCACAACAGAGGAACCTGGTGTACTGAGCGATAGTGCTTCCTCCCCACCCAGATGGTACAAATTCTGAGCCTCACAGTCATAGCTGAAGTCTCCAGGCAATGGGATCCTTTTCCTTTAACCCTTTCCCTGGCTGGTATGTGGAAAGTCTGCTAATACAGAGTGCAAAAATGAAGAATTGGAGGGACCATGGGGAAATACCAGATCCTGTTGCTGTGCCTTCTGGAATCACCAGTAGAACTGTATCTTCTTTGAAAACGGTCATCTAAACTTTCCTTGGAAATTCAGCTGATAAGGACCCTCTGCAGAAAGCCTGACCCAAGGCTCACTTATACTTGCACCTTCAACTTGATGTTGAAACTAAACCTCCCCTGATGCAAATCATCCCAGTGACTTCTTGCCACATTGTTGGTGTATTTTTAGGCAGTTTTTTACATACTACTTACATTCTTTCTCTCTAAATCTTCTCCTTCCTATATTACATTAATCCAGTCTATTCAAAGCTTCTCTGAGTCTATATTCTCCAAATGAAGGGGTAAGAGCTTATAATTATGTGCCAATATGCTACATCTGGGTAGGTGGCATTTGATGAACACTTTTTACTTCGGGGTTAATTTTTGACCCACTACTCTGAAATAACCATAATAATCATGATTTTTCTGGAGCAGAATTGGAAGCACTCATTAACACTTGAGTTACTGAAAGTAAAACCTGCAGTTTGTTGTCCACTTCCACACTCTCAGCTCTTCATGTGGGACGCTGCACAGGACAGTGTTGTGCCAATAAACAAGAGCACTCTTTTATGCCTGCCTGGTTTTGTGTCTTCACTATTCACATGTTGATTTTTCAGATATATCCCCAAAATACCATTTTAATTTGAAATCAGAGAAAATACTTGAGGTGTCATTTTCCACCTTTAGGTTTCCTAGGATTATTAAGGATTCATTAGCTCAGAGATCTTAAACCTCCATGGAAATATTTTATTTTGCATGTCTCTGATGATGTAAAAGTTGGTACCCTTTTACTTAAAACAAAACATGAGTTTTATGTACCAGATAATTTTTTTTTCTTTACCTCTTCTGCAGTCTTAGGATTTACTTTAGATGAACCATATTGCTGATCTATGATAAAATTTTCTAATAACCACCAACAATATCATTTATATAGGGTGTTCTGCTACTTCATTTTTCAGGACTCTTTCTCAGGATGATCAAGATGATACTCATTTGAAGATAGAGGATATAATTCAGATGGTGAGTTCATCTTGAAATTTAAACATAAATACTCCTATAGAAATGTTGTGGGTTTGAGTCAATAAAATGTAGCACAGTTGTGACTTATTGTAAAGTATTTCTGGACAGAAATATTTTACATCAAGAATGTCTATTCCAGTTTAGAAACAGTAAGAATTTGGAGCCCTCATCAAAAATGAACAGATCAAAACTTTAGGATTTGGATTTAAATCTCATAATTAAAAAATTGAAAGATATGAATATATATAAAATTGTAAGCACAGAATATACAGACTTGAATTAACCTACATTCATAATGCTGACTTGGTATGTGCCTGTTTCTCTACAAGTTTCCAGCCTGATGCTTACCTTTATGTTGTTAGGAATTGTTCTTAATTCTTTGTAGCAAAGAAGTTAATTACAACTCCCTGCTGAGAGTGTGCATGAAGCTCTCCACGCCCTGTGCTTGACACAAAAAGGGATCATTTTAAAGTGTTGTCCTTGTTTTTGCAGTCGGACTGTCCAAAACCGGAGTGCTTTGAGACGCTGTCGGCCATGGAGCTTGCAGAGCAAATCACCCTCCTGGATCACGTGGTGTTCCGGAGCATTCCCTACGAGTAAGTGATGGCAGCCTCGGGCACCACCCAATTTATGCTACTGGCAAGCGGGTTTGCACACATGAAAGGGTAACGTGAGTATAAATAGGGTCACAATGCTGAAAAGTAGTGTGGGGTCATTAAAAGAAAAATAAATCTTCCTAATAAAATTTACCGTTTCAGTCAGCGTTAAAAATGGTATAGTGAAATGCTGGAATTAGTCTAAAGCTGTTATTACCATCCAACACATTGAGGTATCTTTGAAATCTACTTAGGCTGTGGTTACAGGCACTGTCCTGTGTTTATTAAGAGCATTTTTGTTTGCTTTTTTTCTCTCCCCTCAATGTGTAGAGAGTTTCTTGGGCAGGGCTGGATGAAAGTGGATAAAAATGAGAGAACGCCCTATATTATGAAAACCAGTCAACATTTCAATGATGTAAGTACTCTTAAATGTCTGTTGCTTTCTAAGAATTCTTGTCTGTGACCTCTGGAACAAAAACACTGGATTTTGATACAATGTGATGTAATGTCTTATCTAGTAGTGACTGAATGTTACAGCCTTTTTGTGATTAACCATTTCAATCAAAGCAGATGAAGATTCTCCTTTCCTGTAACTGGTACTCAGCATTTCAATGAGAATTTAAGAGAGCATAGTATTTTAAACTGTATGACAATGCCTTCCTGCCTACAGAAGAAACTACATTTTCTCTAGAGAAATATGACACCAATTCTATTTAATGAATGCTCTTTGTATCCCCAAACATGTATTTGCTTTTTACCATTTTCCTTGGATTTTTCTGAGAGGCTTCCTGATCAGTTTTACTACTAATGACTTGAGGGTGCTCCTCATTGCATCTCTTACACTTCTTTCATTTCATCTTCCCCTTCACTTCCCTAAAACAGTGTTTTCAATATACTTTCCCTGGTTTTATTAAGAGCCATAATTTCTGTTGTGCATTAGTTGGGGGGTTTTTGGCCTCGTTCATTAATTAGTTGTACGTTAAAAAGGATTTCATTTAAATTATTAAATATTTTACTTTTCTTTTTAAATTATTATTTCATAGAAATATATAAATATTACATATAAATATGGATTTAAAATAAATCTAAAATTTAAAAATAAATATATAGTTTATTTTTATATATAAATAATATAAATGCTGTGATTATGCATAAATACCATATAATGTAATAATAGAAAAGTAATATAACTAATATATAATGTAATTATAGATAAATAATATAAATAAATATTATTAATATAAATAAATATATACATAAATTATTTTTTAAATTAAATTTCCTAACTTTCTTCCTGTTTCTTTGGTCAGATGAGTAACCTGGTGGCCTCCCAGATCATGAACTATGCTGATGTCAGCTCCCGGGCCAACTCCATTGAGAAATGGGTGGCTGTTGCTGATATTTGCAGGTGTTTGCACAATTATAATGGTGTGTTAGAGATCACCTCAGCCTTGAACAGAAGTGCAATCTACAGGCTTAAGAAAACCTGGGGTAAAGTATCCAAACAGGTAAGAAAGACACAATTGTGAGGAGGGTTTCTAGATTTCATCAGTCGGTATGTTCAGACAACATGTTCAGATAATATTCCTCCTATAAATATTTCTGCTTCTCCACCAAGTGGTATTTCATGTCAAAGTCTTTGGAATTTATTTTTTTATAAGTGGGAACAAACAGTTTTCAGCAGAATTAGCAAGTGCCAAAGACTGCTGAAGTACTGAAATACTAAAGTAAACTGAATTTAAATATTTTCAGATATACACATCTGAGTGGTTACAAGCCATAGCTAAAGACAGGTCAGGTGCCTCAAACAGGAACTGCATTTCCCTGACTGTGCAGAAAGCCAGGAGGAAGGGCAGCGCTTTGCAAATTGGTGAGGTTTTTGCTGCCCATTAGGAGACTGTTGACAACCAGTGTTCTTTCTAATTTGGGGGCTCAGGTTTAGATGCAGTGAATGCCTCTCTTTAACCCTTACCTGGCTTCTGAGAATGTCAGCAGCATGGCTGAGGCTGTGGGAATGCCTGCCAGTCACAAAAATAAGACACACACACACACAGAAGAAGACTAGTCAGGATGAAGAGTATCCAGTCTTTTATGTCCTCTCTTTTAAATGCTTAAGAGAAATCCACTTAAAATACATTCTGACTGATTTTCATAGCTGTTTCATAGCTGGTGCTTTTATTTAAAAACAAATTCTGGTTCTTTTATTTAAAAATATGTTAAAAATCCTTTCAATACAGACTGTTATAAAAGAGGTCACCTCTGGAAAGTTTTATGTTTAGAATTTGTTCGATTTTTAAACTTTTCAATTAAAAACAAAACAAAAACAAAACCACAGCAGATTGATGTGGTTGCGCAGTTCTCTAGTACTTACTGGGAATGTAATCTGAATTTTTCATCAGCCTGCTATTTAGAAGAAAATGACTGTTTCTGCCTACAGCTTTCTCTTAATTGGAATTTCCGTTTCAAAAATGATGAATTTCTCATCATTCTCTACACTGTCTCCAGTCTGTAGCATAAACAGACTGAAAAGCAAATTTGTTTCATTTATGAAGTAACCGGGCTCTGATGATGCCCACTGAATGTGACTTGTGTAAGACAGAAATATATTTCTATATACATATTCAGCTTTTATTGGGAACTTGAAGGCAAGGCCAGCTTACAAGACAGAAAACAGCCTTTACTGTCACCAACTTCAGTAAATACAGCTGAAGATCCTCAGCAACGTGTAGGATCAAGTCCTTTATATTCTTGTATAACAATAAATTGAATTCCTGGCCATTAATTTAATGAACTCATGGTTTTTCCCCAATTTGCAGGCTAATAGTGTTAGTATAGACACAGGTTCTGTATATCACAGATATATAAAGATTCTCATAGGAGAATCTTTAATGCTGCCTAGTGTCCATTTTCAGAAATACATGAGGAACTAACAAGCAATAAAGCTGAAATCTTAATGCCTGTTTTATTACTTTTGAAAGTGGAATGGAGATGCTAAGTGAATTACACCTTTTCTAAAATCTAATCCCAGTTGTATGTGCACCAGCAATGACATTTGTAATGCATTTTCTTTCTAGACAAAGGCTCTCATGGACAAGCTTCAGAAGACTGTATCATCTGAAGGAAGATTTAAAAACCTTAGAGAAATGCTCAAAAAGTATGCCTTCCTACGATATACAAATGTTTTGTTATAAGCAGTGGATAGTACATATTAAAGAAGAATTGGCTTTGATTAAGTTTTAATAATTAATATAATTCTGGGTAATATTTTTGACTAAAAATCTTTTAAATTCTAAGTCGGTTCTATATGGCATTATTGTTTTGCTGAATATCCTATGATTTAGTTCCCCTCATGTATAAATATAATAGCTCCAGAGAACTACTGAAACAAATTATACTATTTTTCTTTGGAAATGTTCCCTGTTGGGGTTTTGCTTACATGGATAAACTTTTTTGGTAAATGTAAAGTCAGCTTGATAAATAAATTTTTTTATGAGAAACAGGATTCCACAGACTTCTTGCTCTAAATAAGAAATTTAGGGCTTGGGACTAAGCCTGAGTCAGATCATAGATCCATTCATATTGTTTCAGACAGTAAATGATGAGAGGAACATAAGGACAGGACAAATGCACAGTGATATTTCCTCGCCTGTGGCCTCCAAGCCCCCTGGAAAACAGGCTCCTTCTTTTGTACAGTAGTCCTCGAGTACTGGCTTCTTTAATTTGCCAGATTGTGTCTGACATTCTGTAATTTTGGTATCCAGAAGGGTTCTACAATTTAGGTATTGACTTGAATTTTTGCAAGTTTTGTAATTGGAAGCAGGTTTTTCAGGATTGAATGATACGATTACTTTAAATTATCTTGAGAGAAGCCAAGAATTGAACAACTAGAATAATTACTGGAATGTTTAAAAAGTGCCATTAATATTAGATATTGGACAGCATACATTCAATTTGTCACAGGCAGAGCAGATACAACTCAAGCAAAGTCAGAGGAGCTGTTCGTCTTGGAGATAAATACAGTCCATTGACTAGAAGTGCATTAGGTAATAAAAGTTTGTGTGAGTTAGAAAAAAAACAAGTTTGCAAGTGTAGCTACAGGCAAATATGCTGATTTATTGATTTTCAGTTGTAACCCACCTGCTGTTCCCTACCTTGGGATGTACCTGACGGACCTGGCCTTTATCGAAGAAGGAACACCCAACTTCACTGAGGAAGGACTTGTCAACTTTTCCAAAATGAGAATGGTAATTTTCACTTTCTTGTATGCTTTCCCAACAGGTGGTGTTTAATTATGTGAGTTAATTATCGATTTCATTATAACTCCTTTGAATTTCACTTCAGAGAATTACAGGTGTATTGGTGTTGTGCAAGATAGGCAGCGATCTGAGAGCAATTATTCGACCCAGTCTTCTATCACCACCTTCTGGTAAACTGGGTATTTTTACAGGGTGAATTTGCCCCTGGTTTGTTCTCTGAGAAATAACAGAAAAAGCAGATGTCTGGAGATCATGAAGGAGCAACAAAAAGCTTTTTTTAAATAACCAGAATTACAGGAATGCAGTGATTCACCAGCAAGCAGTAGTCACAATGTTCTTTTCAAAGTGTGCTAGGGTCTATCTAAAAAGCATTTTAAAGTTGATTTCTCTCCCACTGCCATATAATGCTTTTTGTAACAACTCCTCAGAGGGAAGCATGAAAATTTCTCTTCTAATCTCAGTTTAATGCCCTTCTTAGGGCCACACACTGCAGCAGTCACTCGAGGCAAAAGAGAAGAGGTGTTTTCAGTGTGGGGAGAGGAGAGTCAAGGTTGTTCACTTGAGGCTGACTGGAGAATAAATGGTTGATTTAGGAAAGTGAAGTGCTTGGAAGCTGTAAGGAGATGATCTCTGCCCTTGCCTTCCCTCCTCCCCAGATAAATTGAATAACTTCGTGCAAACTTCTTGATTTATGTGGCTTAGCTGAAGTTGTACTTACACACATGTATTCTTTTGAAAGATCTCACATATTATCAGGGAAATACGGCAGTTCCAGCAGACCTCCTACCGCATAGATCATCAGCAGAAGGTAAGGCTCTCACCTGATGCTGAAATCAGAGCTGTGGCAGCTCAGATAGAGCTGTTGTTGAAAGCCAAAATCAGTGTATTCTGCTTCCACACATAGAGGAGAGGACATACAGATGTATGGATGGGTCATCTGGGGCTGGGACACCCTCACCCTGGCAGAAACCCTTTGATACCTTGTAGAGAAGTTTTTTGCTCCTTCTCTGGAAGGTCTTGGGGATTGCAGGCTTCAAGGGTATAAGGGGTTGAAGGAGAAATGTGTTCTTCCTGCCCTGAGAGTCCAGTGATTTAGGGGACAGGACATGCCCCAAGCACCTGCTGAGGCATCCTGCAGTTCTTTTTCCCTTTGTCCCTCATGGGAGTTATGCAGATTTGACCAAAGCTGGTCTGTGGCTTCAGAGAAGATTAATCTCATACTCCAGAAGGGGAGCCTGGGGCTGAGGTAACCTGGCAAATGATTTGCCCATTCCTAAGAGGCTGTAATTAATTCCCAGATCTCTGCAGGTGGGTGCAGCATCCAAATGAGCTGTTGGGTTTCTCAAGAAAACAACATGAAGGCATCTCAGGATCCGAAATGGGCTGAAAGAGAAAAGAAAGAAGAGAAATTTTTGTGGCTGTTCTCTGCAGTCTGTCCATCTGTGTTTTCTCCATTCCAGGTCACTCACTATTTACTTGACAAGACGCTCATTATAGATGAAGATACGTTGTATGAGCTCTCCCTGAAGATTGAGCCCAGACTCCCTGCCTGAAACTTAGCTTTGCCTGAGAGTCTACAGAAAGCTTTAGTACAATGAACAGCATCATGCATGCCTAAAAACAACAAAGGAAATTTTGGGAAGAATGCCAGCTCTCTTTGCCAATAAGAGGTACAGAGTCTCACAGCATTTCCCTCTCTGGCAACAAAAACGAGCATTGGAGGTGGAAGACAAAGATACTTCCTACCTGGATTAAGTGATTGTTGCTTTGCAAAGATAATGTTTTGCATAGGGACTATGATTTATTGGAAAATAGGAGACTTTACTGTGAACAGGCTCTCATTGCAGCTATCTTAATGTGACAAAGTAAGGGTACAGATTTAAATGGTGGCAATATACTCAGGTATATTAAGATGAGTAAGCAAAATGAGGTGGCTGGGTTGATGGCTAACTGTGTGTCCACTGAGGCAGCAATGGTTGTGGTGTCCTCATATTGTGTTAATTTCACTGAGAAACCAGAATTTTAACAGTCATCTACTATTTTGGAATGGCATTAAGAGAACATCTAGTAACTTCAGACCTGCAGTTGTTCAAAACACTTGCTGTATGTTTAATGTACTTTTATAAAAGACTTTCTTCTTTAAATGTCTTGTCAGCCTTTTCTAAGATGGCTGATTGTACCTATAAATGATTTGTAAATATTATTTTTCATCCATGAGAGTATTTACAGCATGGAAAGCAAACAGACTAATGGAATAGCTGTACATAGTTGCCAGCCTTCCCAGTTGGGAAACACAAAGTGAGAAATCTGGACGCGCAGTGGATGGGATGGTGAGTCGTGTTGCACGCAGCCCTGGAAAAGGCACTTTATTTCCCTGCACCTCCTGCAACTTCTCTGACAAGTCAGGCTACAGAGCACTTTCTGGACACACTGTGGAGAGAAACACACATCTGATCTGGCAGTGGGTGGTGACCAGCAGTGAACACTCAGAGCTGGAGTGACAGTTCCGTTTCACTTGGAATCAGTGGTTTGAAAAATGTCTATTTTTTTTTGTTCAGCCATTCAGCACTAACTTAGCTCTAAAATCATACATATCAGTGGCAAACGTTGACTGCCAGCAAACACAAAGTATGTATTTTTATCTGAGATAGTAATTATCACTTGCATATGGGCATATGTATGAGAAAATGTGTTATTTGTAAATGTTTTCAGAGCCTGTGCTTTTGTGACGTACCAGGTAGATAGATGTCATTTCTGCAGCTAGTGGGTACTTCCTACATTTTCCTGATCAAGAGTGGCCTGTCATAGCTGCATGGAAACTGAGCTCAAATGTATGTTGTAAAGGGCATCATACTATAAAACACAGGTGTTAGCACTGTTGAAAAAAAAATTGGCTGGAAAAGTGTCCTTACTTTTCCAATGATATTCAGCCAGTTGAAGAAATAGGGCTATATCACTGTATACCTCCCTTAAATTCTCTCAGGGAGACAGATGCTTAAAACAGATTGTGACCTAGGCCTATTTGATCTGACATATCTTACCACAGTCATGATGCTTCTCAACGCTGACGATGAAAAATGGACCTGCCTGGCTTGTGGTTTTTTTCTTTATTTGCACTTTAATTATATTGCTGGCCCAGCCCCAAGCTGCACAATAAATTCCATTTGTTCTGACTCAGTGTAACTGCCAGCATTTACAAATGTACCTTAGCAACTGTACATTTCATTAAGGTTCTTATCCACAAGGACCATCTCTTTGTAAATAACTGCATGGGTGTCACAGATACTGGAAAATTCCTCCATTAGAAGAGCAGACAGCAAGAGAGAAGGAAATGCCAGAAACACTTTAGATAGTTCTGGTTAATGATTGCTGTGAAAATGAACATGGAAAATATTACTTATAGAAACCTTTTGTTGTCAAATGCGTTTATTTCTTTTCACTAATGGCTGACAAGAAGCTGATTGCATCCCAGTGCATGATATGAGGAAAAGCATGGTTTATTTGGATCACAAAACCAACTGACTGTGTATTTTCTGTACAAAAGCAGTTACCATTTAGTAGTTTCAGAAAACACTTTGAAGTAATGAAGCAACAGGGGAAATGTGGTCCAGAAAGTGATTTCCTAACTTTGTTTTATTGTTTCTTTGTTCAAAAGAAAATGTGTAACAACTGTCTCTGTCAATGGGCATCTTTGTTGTATGCTATTAACTGCTGCTTTATCTGCCTGTACCCCATTTTACCAAATTTCCCTGATGTTCTTAGGGTTACAGGGTACAATTCTTCATCTTGCTCTGTTCATGGTTGGTTGTTTTGTACTTTCTGTGTGTATATTGGTTCAGAACATTCAATGATGTATTTTAGTGTTTGTGACACGCAGGGTTGGTGCTGTGCTCATGTGGCACATGGACAGAGAAGAAGACAAAGGGTTAGACATGGGCTTTTCCAAAGGTGCTGAGCATCCATATCTTAAAATCAGAAGGCAGTGTGATAGTTCAGCCCCTTTGGAAAAGCACAGACTACTCATATGCCAAAGTTTGCCTCCTGGGACAGGGGCACAACTGAGGTTAGAATGATTAGAGTAGCATATGTACTTGATTTGTGTTCAGAGCAACACCACCACCACCACCACCACAAAACCAAACAAACAAACAAACAATTATTATGGTCACAGTAATGCTTGATTTGCTGATGTCTAATGTTGCTGGTTTTGCTTGGGGATACAATATGTTTGTTAAAGCACAGGAGGTGAGTGGCTGAAAAAGTGAGGATGCACCTTGTTACCCACAACACTCGCCAGCATTGCAGCCCTATAACCACATTTGGGATCAGCTGTTCTGGAGGAACAGCAAGTGCAGAGCTGTGTGCTGGGCTGTGCTTCACCAATCAGTGGCCCCAGTGCCTCTGCCACAGTCCTGCTGCCGTGTATGGGCTGTGGCCATGGTCCATAGGCAGCAGCAACCTGCTTTGTGTGAGGCTTTGCTTGGTCCCAGTGTAACCAGCGCTCTCCCTGTAGGGCGCACAGGGATCGTGGAGCTCCTGCTACCAGCTCCTCTGTGCCACTCCACCAAAGCCACATAACACATAGGGATGGAAATCTCATTCATCAAACACACACTGTTTGCCTCTGGCATTTTAGGGAGCATGTCCCTGAGTGAGGACTTTGTCATGGGGTCTTGCTGTCTTCTAGGATCTTGTCCATCACAGCTTTTACACTGTGGAAGCAAAACAGACTCACTTTCCTGCAAGTGGAGCTAGAAAAGCCCAGCTGATTCAGGATCCACAAGGAGGAAAAGGGCTGAAGCACCTCTCTACTTGCCTTCCTGAGCTCCTCAGCCCCTCTGTGCCAGTGGGATGGAGGGGCTGCTCCCTGTGGAACACTCCAGGTACATGCTGAAGGGGCTGGCTGGCAGCAATGGGGATATAGCAAATTTCACCCACTGGGTTGCAGTGGGCACACCTGCCAGTGATGCCTGAGGGGAGCTCTGCAGTGTTTTTTATTGCATAAGTAGCAGCCCAGATTGAGCCTACAGTGACCTGGGGGCCTGGGCAGCAGCACAGACATGTCCCCTTCATGTGAGAGACAGAGCACTTGTCTGACGCTGATAAAGGATTAGAGTTGCCTTCACCCCAGCCTTTGCTCCCCCATCCCTTTCCCCTTTCAAATTCATCAGTGTTGTTATGGACTGAGCCCATGACTTGGTCGTCCTGTGGAAGAAAACCAGACCTGTGGCAGTAAGTGTTTGTTCTGCCCCTTTCTTTTGGCAAGTCCTGTGAAACACAGATGCATATGTTCATGGTGAGAGGTGATAACTGGGACTGATCACCCTTATTTAAGAGTGAGGAGGAGGTCCACTTTCTGCTTTCCTGGTTTTAATACTAATTATTGTTCTCTAGGATTAAAAGGAACTTAACTACTTTAATTATTTATTAAACGATTTTGATTTCAGGACATGTTCATTATCCCAAATTTTCCTCCATGCTTATTATTTATTTTAAGGGTTTTACAAAAAACCATTGTTTTATTTGTATTGATATTCAGTCTTTCCTCCTTTTAGTCTTAACAGCAACATTAAGCTTAGATGATTGAAAATTCTCACCCATAGAGACATTTTTACCCATCATAACTGTTATTCATTAAGGGCAAAACCCTTCAGACCTCATTCTGATAATACATTAGGCTTCACTGAGAGCTTTTCATAAGTATTTGGGGATCTGGCTCTCAGCTATTTGCCTGTTACAGTTTTTGCCTCCAAAGGTCAAGTGTCTCTGTCCTGGATGCTTTGTGTCCAATACACTGCTCAACGATGGTTGTTCTGCTGTACCTTTACTCCTGAATAGTCTCTGATGTTTTGTTACTTAGGAGAGTAGATCTATGTTTATTTGACAGATGTACCTATAACTAATGTGTTACTTAGTGCACACTCCAGATGTTTTTGCATGTATTGTAACTTATCTTTTGACCTGAGGTTATTGCTTTGTATTGTTAGTAAGACCTATCAGGCAAGGTGTTGTGCCTCTATGCTGATTAAACTTTCTTTTATTTCCTGAGTTTCAAGGGTCCTTACTGGAATTCGTTTGTTTTTTTAATCCCCGATCATGAATAATTAAATCTCCTCCTTTTGATTTAGCAAGTCTTTTAGAAAAGCATACCATTAAGGGCAAAAAATCAGGGAAAATTCTCGGTTTGTACTGGGAAGGAATGGTTTGAATTACTGCATTTTATTATTTTTTTACACTCACGATGCATTGCAGCTGCTGTGGGCATCACTGGGAATAACTGATATTGGGTTTGGACTTCTGTCTAATTATCCCTTGCCTTCTCTTGGCTGGTGTCCTGCCATGGATTTAAAGAAGTCATAAAGCCATATTTTGTACCCAGGAAAAGAGAGAAAACGTAGTAGGTTTGTGAGTATGTCCTGTCCCTCCTCTTGTGATAGGAAAACAAGTCACATGGAGATAAATTACTTGCATATTGAAGAAAAATAGTTAACAGAGTTTGAGACTAAAAAACCAGGTCTCCAGCTTGTGTTATATACTTTAATCACTGTCCTGTGTTGAAATCACTAATTTCATTAAGACAGAAAGAATCCTGTTACATTTTTTTCTAGAATTAACATATTTTGAGCAAGTGAACAGCAATGGCCCATCAGATCTGTGTAAGAAGGAGATAAAAGAAGATATTAATATCTATTCAGTACTCTGTGACCTTGCAGTCACATTTTCTCAGTTTTGCTTATATTTGTTGGTGTTTCACATAAAAACTGAAATTAACTGAGAGCAACTTACCCTTAAGGTTGTCAGATACTGTCAGTGCAATAAAAAATTTAAAATACTTCCTGAGAAGCTCTGTTTAAAAGTACTGCAGGGTTTTTAATTTCAAGTTGTTTTCCCAGCAATGTTTTCCAAACCATTTTATTTTCGTTATGCCAAAGAGTTGACTGATTTTACATCTTTATTCTAAGACCATCATTGTTCTGGTTCACTGTCTGCTGGAGACAGCCCTGTACGTGTTGGTAAATGCAGTAGTGGCAGAAGTAATGTCAAATTTGTTTTCCTAGAGGTAGAAACTCCACTGTGTAACTCCCTTCAAGTCAGGCACCACCCTGCTGCACTAATGCTCATGGTCTGCAAATGCCCAGATGGGTCAGAAACACTGACATAATTATTATTGTTTAATTATTTTTGTGTTCTTCCCCACTACATTTCCTGGAAGCTCTGCATTTATACGAATTGGTGACAACATGTAAATCATGTCTAGATTCTTGATGTATGTGCTTCATGTGGACCAAAAGTAGTAACTTGTCTGGCCAGAAAAGACACAAAGTCTTATTAAGACTTTCTATTCTGCTTGAAATACAAATATTTTTATTCCCTTTTATTTGCTGTTAAAATTTCATCTCCAATGGGAAAGCCATCTGGAAAAGAGCACCTTTTTCCCCCTCTAACCATTCCTGCTGGAATTTCCAGGACAAAGAAGCACTGGATCAGCAGGATGGAAATGTGTCCACAGTTCAAGACACCTGAATGTTTGTCAGCTGTGGTTCTCCAGGCATTACTGTTTTGAACTCCCTGACAAAAAAAAATTAAAATCTAAAAAAAAAGTGACCACTTTTTTGATTTTGGACATCCCTGCTTGTCCAAAGGGTCAGCTCCATTTCTAGGAAAACCTTTTCTCCTCCCTTTGGCCAGAAAACACACTGCTAATTATAGAGAACCTTTCCTACACTGTGTGGTGGATGTTCTGTGAAGAGTGAGTTTGATAATTTAAAATAACTGGGGTTATTTTTAAAACCACAGTTGGATCTTTTTGAGCTCTTTATTTAGTAGACATGTATTAGCACCTTAATGTGCCTTTCTCTGGAGTAATATTAAGTGTAGGACAACTGTTCTGTGCCTCCTCGTCCACTTGGTCATGGTCAATAGGTGCCCATGCTTAGCACAAAGTACCTGATTTAACTCCAACTTCTGTGGGATAGAGGGCTTGGATGCCACCTCAAAATGGAATGTTTTCCCAGTTTTGAGATCTCAGTGGCTGCACATTCTCTATGTGAGAGGATATTGAACACCCACGGCCATGAGGACACCCAGGAAGAGGTCTGCTAAGCACTTGGTAAACAATTATATTTATTGCCAAGACAGAGTGCTTCACTGCATTATTCTGAATATAAGAATTAAAGACCCATCCAACTTGAAAACCTGGGATTGCCACTGCTTTGGGGGAACAATCGAACTACTGCTTTATAAGGACACTAGTGGCTCTTTGCAGCTGAACTATAGCAGAGCTCTGACTCTAACAGCAGGAGCGATAGTGATCAGTGTCCTTGCAGGCTCCTCAGAATAAACACAGCACCTTCTAATTACAGATTCAATACCCAGACTTTGCAAGAAAAACTAGGCTTATTGCTGTCCTCACTCCTTTCATTACTAATAAATTATGTCCCATATATGGAAACTTGACTTCAAATAAATTTTCTTTGAAATTAATGTGTGAATTGGAAAGGCCTTCCCATAAAACATAATTACTTTTGTCTGGTCCATACAGGTAACTGGTCAGCAGCTCCCATGACAAACTCCAGTAGGACACAAATTAGTGCTGAATTCCAGTTGAACTCCCTGTGCAGGGACTGGTGTCATTAATATTAATTGCATTTGAATTAACACTCAGCTACTGCTGCCTCCCCGGCACAAACGATGAAACCGCGGCAGCATTTTAATTGTTAGATAATTATGTTAGATAGACATGAAAATGGGGCATTATTTATGGAGGGTTCTTAGCATCCCAACTGTTTTGGTACCTGAGTTCCTCACAAAATAGATCACAGAACAGTAGTAAAGCTGAACTATTTTTAAGTATTAATGATATATTCTCCAGAAATCATTAGGGAACTTGCTAACGGTGTTTTCCAGGTATTTGTGGTGTTACTTCACAGTCTGGGGCTTGTTTGCACCTGCTGTTCTTCCAGGCTCTGAGCTGGCAAATACCTTAAACCTCTGCCTAAGCCAGCAAGGCACTTCATGGCATCCCCTACTTTGAGGGGAAAGTCCTTGTCTGTTTAAGAGCTTTACAAAGAAGGCTGCCTTTAGTAAAAAATTTTAAATTAGGTATGTGCTGAGCTGGTGTGCAGGGGCTGTTTGCTGACACAGAAAGCTGGTTTCTGTTTCCTTTCCCAGTTCTTGCACAGGGACAGATTTTTTGTGCTCCTATTTCCTTACTCGTGTTACCTCAGGAGATCCTCAGCGGATTTTTTTTTTCCTCTCTCAATATCAAGAATGTAGTGTTGGGTTGATAAAAAACAGGTGTGATAAAGAGGGCGTGTTTCCAGATGCACTGATCTGGACTGTTTCATTTCTAATTATAGTGGGAGTGCATGGCTCTCATTAACCCAAACAAGCCATGACATTCTGGGGGAGAGATGTCTATGTTTTTGAAATTTTCAAAGATCTGAAACGTGAGTTTAGGAAATTGCTATGTATAATTCAAAGAATAATAAATGTACAAAGGAAAATGGATTTTGAAATGTTGGATTTTTAAAAGCTGCACAGTGCTGGCCTCTGTGTTCCTCTGTCAGCCTTGGTACATGTTCAGCTTTGGTTAGAGCAGAGCTAGGTGAATGACACTGATTATTCTTTCATGCTTTCCAAACAATTATGTGTTATTTCTTACAGTACTTTACTGCTATGTAGCTATAATTCTAAATGCAATAGAGTAATAAAATAATAGTAATTCTTAATGGGAGGCTTTAGATACCCTCCTTTTACATTTGATGGGTCCCTCTGCCTTACAAATAGTCGAGAATTAATGTTGTAAATTAAGAAATAAAGGAGGGAAAACAGCCAAAATCACCTGCTGTGATCTCAGCTCCTTCAGTGTCTAGTTCCCTGCTCTGGCCTGTTTCCACATGGGATTCAAGCAGCTGGAATTTCCCTGCTCTGGATGTTTCTCAGGAGATGTTCAGGCAGGCAGGACTTGACCTTTCTCTTTCAGCTGTTCCTAAGTTGGAGCGTGGGGGTGGAGCAGCATCTTTTGCCGTTTCCCACCTGCCTGACCATTTGCTGACACGAACAGTTTCCACTTGAGAAGCATTTGAAGGGTGATGTTGCTGTCACCCCACTGCTGCTACATCCTCCTTGTGTCCTCAAGGGCACCCCTGTGCCAGCAAATGCCACTAACCCAGCAAACCAGGATTGGTCCCTGCAGCAATTATTTTCGTTTCCCACACCTCCTCTTCCCCGTCTCGTATTACCTGAGCTCCTCTCAGGGCACCAACTCGCTATTCCTTTTACACTCTGGGCTCGCTGCAGGCAGCAGGACGTCCCTACCTCCAGCTTCAAGGTCAGTTTAACTATGTATGTATTGGTTTTGTAGCCTCAAAACATAGCATTTCAAGTACAAGGGTTATTAAATATGGATTCGAAGTGCCACAGGATGTGGTGTTAATTTGGCTATAATTTATTGACTTGTATAACCACTTGGTGCAGGGAAATATTTGTCAGCCCCCCACTGTACAGCTGCTTTAAGTTATGGAGTCAGAGGGTTGTTTAGGCTGGAAAGGACCTCTAAGATCATCAAGTCCATCTGTTAATGCTGACTCTTAAGTAACAATTTTAGTAAGGGAAAAATAGGATGCGTTATAAGTTCAGAGTAAACTTCTCCAATTACATGAGTTTTTTGTGATTTTGATTGTAGCTCTCTGCACTGCGAAGATGAGAGGTTTATACTGCAAAATAGCATCAGATGGGCTCAGAAGGGTGAGCAGTACCTGCAGCTTGGCTGGGCTTTGGCAGGACAATTTGAGCTGCTGTGTCTCACCAGGTGGGATCTGACCAGCCAGATCTTCCACTGACGGAAATCAAAAATCATGTTGTTACCAAGGGGTCATTGTCTGATCTATGAAGAGTTGCAGCTTTTACCATGTCTTCTCTATTCATATGAATCTAGTCACAGATACACAGCTTGGAATTTTTTTTTCTTAATTAATATGTTTTTATAACCATTCACTGACCTCTGGCATTGCAAGGAGAAAGAAACTGAAATGTAGTTGATTTTT